TGGCATGCCATGTAACTTAACAACCTGATCCAAGAAAAGGTTAGCAGTTGTGCTAGCTGTATATGGATGCTTCACTAGGATAAAATGTGCATATTTTGTTAATCTGTCTACTACCACCAATATAATTGTATGTCCTTCTGACTTTGGTAGAGCTTCAATGAAGTCCATGGAAAGATCCTTCCAAACTCCAGTAGGGATGGGTAATGGTTGAAGGAGACCAAAGGGGTGGTGATGAGAATGCTTACTGTGTTGACAAATACCACATTGCTTGACAAAACCATCAACATCACCTTTCATGCCTTTCCAATAGAATTGTGATTTTAGCCTGTGATATGTGCCTATCATGCTTGAATGTCCCCAATTGGGCTTGAGTGGGAAGCTGCTATAAACTTTGTTTGTAGGGCAGTGTTGGCACCAATCCACAACCTATTCTTGTATCTGATAAGCCCTTGCTCTAGACTATAGCCTTTGTCATCTGGGTTGTTGGTTGTCAACTGAGTGAGCAATTGTTGAGCATAGGAATATGTGGCATAAGAATTAAGCACTTCTTGTACCCACTGTGGCTGCACCACTGATATTGCTTGCAGAGCCATTAGATGTGCCACTCGGGATAGAGCATCAGCAGCCAAATTGTCTTTGCCTTGCCTATATACTATCTTGAATTGGAGGCCCATGAACCTAGTCATAGCTTTTTTCTGCATCTTAGAGTGCAAGTTTTGTTGCTTCAAGTATTCAAGTGATTTGTGGTCAGTTTGTATGATGAACTCTTGTCTTTGTAGATATGGGCGCCATTTTTCTACTGCCATTACGAGTGCTAAGAACTCCTTTTCATAGATGGACAATTTCTTGTGTTTTCCCCCAAGGCTTTACTGAGATAAGCAATGGGTTGCCCTTCCTGCATCAGTACCGCCCCAATGCCATCTATACAGGCATCAGTCTCCACTGTGAATTGGTTCTGGAAATTGGGTAAGGCCAGAACTGGAGCTGTAGTCATAGCTGTTTTCAGAGCATCAAAAGCTGTCTGTGCCTGGTGGTTCCACCGGAAGGTTTTGAGTTTCAGCAAGTTTGTAAGTGGTTTAGCTATAATGCCATAGTGCTTCACAAATTTCCTATAGTACCCAGTGAGTCCTAAGAAGGCTCTTAGTTCTGTCAGACTGGAAGGAATAGGCCACTGCAACATTGCTTGAATTTTGGAGTTATCAGTTGCTACTCCTTTGTCTGAGATGATGTGCCCGAGGTACTCCAGACTGTGTTGAGCAAAAGAGCACTTTGATGTCTTGAGGTATAGCCGGTGCTGTCTGAGAATTTCCAGTACTTGCTACAAGTGTATGAGATGGTCTTCTAGAGATTTGCTATGAATCAAAATGTCATCCAAAAAGACCATGACAAATTTCCTCAGGAAAGGATGGAGAACTTGGTTCATGATACACTGGAAAGTGGCTAGAGCATTGGTCAGGCCAAATGGCATGACCTTGAACTGATAATGTCCATGGTGTGTTTTAAATGTTGTCTTGTACTCATCTTCAGGTAGCATCCTCACCTGGTGGTACCTAGATCTCATATCTAACTTGGTGAAAAATATGGCTCCATGCAATTCATCTAGGATCTCATCAATGATAGGCATAGGAAATCTATTCTTGATTGTCATTGTGTTCAATTTTCTGTAATCTACACAAAATCTCTAGCTGCCATCTTTCTTTTTGACTAAGAGAACAAGAGATGCAAAAGGGTTGTGACTGTGGCATATCAATCCATTATCCAGCAACTCTTTCACTTGTCTTTCAGTCTCTATTTTATGCTGTGGAGAGTAATGATAAGGCCTGTAGTTGATTGGGATTGCATCAGGGTGTAATGGGATAGCATGGTCATAGCTCCTAGTTGGTGGAAGTTGTTTTGGATCCTAGAAAACATCTGCATACTAAGTCAACAACAGCTGTAGACTATCTGGTATATGGCTTTTGTTTGTGGTTTGCTCCTTAAGGGCATGAGTTGTAGCCAAAACCACAAAAGCTAAAATATCATTTGCTTTAGAACTCTTGTATACTTGTTTGGGTGTCATGGGTGTGATCTCTTGGTGAGGTGATGGAACGCCCTTGAGGGAGATGTTGGTGCCTTGATGCTTGAATTGGATTGTTTTGGCTTGCCAGTCACAAACCATAGGACTGTACTGCTTCAGCCAGTCAAAGCCCAAAATGGTGTCATAAGGTAACATGTCAAGCACAATCATATTCTTTGAAAAGGAATGCCCTTGTATGTACCATGTTAGGTTTTGGCCTGTTTGTTAGTGGTCATCCATTGACCATTGGCCATCTTCACCTTCTGAGCTGGTATAGGATAAGTAGTCAGTTGTGTTAACTTGGCAAACTGAGCATTCACAAAGCTGTGGGAGCTGCCTGTGTCTACTAGGATTAGTATTGTTTTGTTCTGAACAGTTGCTTTGAGCTTAATGGAGTCATCAGTTTCTGCACCTGAGACAACATTCAATGATAGATGACAAAAATCTTCAGTGATGAGGTCCTCTATGGCCATTTCATTTAATGCTTCCTCACTGATCTCTTTATCCAAGTCATTTAGGGCCAATGCATGGAGTTGTGGTTTGTTTTTCTTGGTGCAGACCTCAAGGTGACCTGGTTCAAATTTGTCCCCATAATGAAAGCACAAGTTGTTTGCCTTCCTATAATCTCTGAGTTGTCTATCTCTCCATAAGGTGCCATATGTGGGTGGCTGTTTGCTGTCCATTTTCTGTTGTTGGGGTTTGTGTGCTTGATGCTACTTCTGAAACTTTTGTCTACCTCTATCCAGGACTTTCTGTTGTATCTTTGCAATGAGGGCTGCCATGTCCACACTAAGGGGAACCTGGAGCTCAACTGTGGCTTTGATGTCATCTTTCAAGCCATCAACATACCGCATAGCAAAGTATAACTCATCATGTTTAGCACTGTGCATTGTAATCTTGTACTGCAGTGCATGGAATTGGGCTGTGTACTCTTCCACTATTCCTGTCTGTCTCAAGGCAATCAGATCGGCCAATGCAGTTCTGTAATCATCACTGCTGAATTTAGACTAGATGTCTTGGTAGAGATTTGTCCAATTGACAGTTGGATTGCTTAACTTGTAATCTTCCCACCACATTGCAGCATTATCTTGTAGATGCATTGTTGCAGCAGTCACCCACAATTCTTTAGGAATAGAGTACATACTGAAATAGTTGTGACACTTGTTCAGTCAGATCTTGGGGTTGTCGCCATTAAAGGTTGGGAATGGCATCTTTGGTAAAATGTGGTGTGGTAACTGATCCTTCTGTGGACTGTGATCTGCCTTGGTGGTCTTCTTGGGTTCATCAAACTTAGGGGGTGGACGCTTGGATGAACTTGGTCTGAAGGTGCCCTTGCCTTTGTCGTCCACGAAGACATTTGTGAATGGGGCCTCGTCTTCAAAGACCATAGAGCCTGAGCTACCACTAGCAGAACGAGCGTCGTCGTCGAACTAGCGAAGGGTCAATTGCGCGACCGCATGCCCATTGGCCTTGACATGTTCTGCAATGAACTTTTGGTCAGATGCCACATTGTCGACACCCTGCGGATGTTATCTTGAAGTTGGGTCCGTAGATCTTGCTGTATAATGCCGATGTCATTCAATCGAGCAAAGAGCATGTCAAAGTTTTCCATTACTGAATCCCAGCGAATCCGGTCGTCCTCGTTGCTGCGAGACATCTCGTCCAGCAGGATTTGAGTCTGCTTTGATGGCTTTGGAGGAGCCGTGGTGACCGAATGGGAAGAAAAGTTGTGAGCTGGTGAAGCAACCGGTTTGGTGAGCACCTCCCCTTGATCTTGCTGCACCGTGTTTGCCGAACTACTCCTGGAAGTGAGGCACTACCAAGGGATTTTACACGAAAACACTATCCCGCAACCCGAGTAAGTGGACACTTCCGCCGCCGTCGCCTCCCACACCACAATCGGTTAAGGCAGCGCCGTAATTTTACATGGGAACACTGCCCCACAACCCTTGCTACCCCCGATTGCGTGTGTAATGAAAGATGCGAGAACCTGTGATGTTGTGCTCGACGTGGTTTCTCAGGGAAACGTGGAACTGTGAAACAAGGTGGTGAATTTGGGTATGTTGGGCTAAGATGGTGGATTGGGGTTTGTGGAGGTGGAGATGGTGGAGCTCAAGCGAGGTTTGTGCCGCTGCCGGTGCTGACCCAGTTCAAGCCAAAGGAAGGACCTCTGGGATCTCGCATCGAACACCTCGAGGGCGTGAACGGAGATCACCTGCCGACCGAAATTACGAACTGAAGATCGAAGCACACGGTGTTGGAACGTACCGGGGAACGCTGAGCATTGTTGTGGTGGTGGTTGGGACGCCGGTCGCTGGATCCGTCGCCGGAGTTGTCGGGGACGAGAGGCGAAGCAGAGCCGAGAGACACGAATCAAGATGGGGGATAGGGTGGGCAGGGTTGTGCCGAGGAAGGGCCGCCTTTGATACCACTGTAGCACCCCTGGCCGCCGACGGGAGCCGTCAACGTGAGCGCACGAATGGATCGCTGGAATCGTCCGAGACGCAGAGGAATCTCACCTCGCGCTCTTACTGTATTGATAATATGTTTTTCGATAATTCATTACAGGCAACAGTTCAGAATAAAAGGCCCTTGGCCGCTGACCACCACGGGTCCACACGTCACACTGATGTGATTACATAAATAGCCTAAATACGCTTTGCCTCAACGAATACGCCTTCACCTCGCTTCACGCCTGGGGTGTGACAACCCCGACGCTCCACCCCCGCGGCCTCGCCCCAACGCCGCCGCCTCCACCTCCTCCGCCCCTACCGCGCCGCCTCCGCTGCCTCTACCGCACCGCCTCCTCCGTTCCCTACTGATGGGTTAGAGCATCGTGCCGCTGCTGGAGGTGGCGAACTCGACCCCTTTCATCGCACAAGAAGCCAGCTCCTCGATCCTCAGTTCACTTCCTCCTTTTGCCGAAGGCGGAGAGGTGCCCAATATGGCGTCAAGAGTTCGCCTCAGCCTCCCCTACCCCGATGCCACGGATCCAGAGCGGCCGCCGCCGGCCCTAACGAGCGACCTCCTCGAGGAGATCTTCCTCCGCGTCGCCTCCCCTGCGGACCTCGCCCGCGCCTCCACCGCTTGCGTCTCCTTCCGCCGCCTCATCGCTGACCCCGCCTTCCTCCGCCGGTACCGCTCCATTCACCCGCCCTTACTCCTCGGCTTCGTTAGCTCCTATGGCTTCCATCCTGCCGAGGCGCCCCATCCCTCCGCTGCCGTCGCCCGAGCTGTCGCGTTTTCCTTCGACTACCTCCCTTGCACCACCAGAAGGCACCGCTGGCATCCGTGCGATGTCCGCGACGGCCGCGTCCTCCTCAAGTGCAGTCGCGTGGAAGTCCTCGTCTACTGGGACCTCCTGGTGTGCGACCCGTTGTGCCGGCGATACCTGCTGCTGCCTCCCATAACCGACGACCTACTCTCCTCCATCGGGATCCAAACCAAAAATATTTCCCATTCGGGGGCCTCCTTCATCCGTTCAGGAGGCATAGAGGAGGATACATCATTCAGTGTGATCCGCTGGATGCAATCCAACTCAAGGTTGGGGGTATTTATGTTCTCTTCGGGCTCTGGCTGCTGGAGTGTCAGTACCTCTATCAGTTGGGGCGATCTAGGCTTGGACGAAATTGATCTGTTGATTTCAAGCCAATGTGTGTATGACTGCTTCTATTGGAAATTAACCAACATGAACACGTTGATCAAGCTCGACATGAATAGTATGCGGTTTTGCAGTATTGTCCTCCTGCCTGGCCATGAGGAGCGGCAAATCGTCATTGTGGAGTCAGGGGAAAGTAGGGTTGCAATGTTTAGTATAATTTATGAAGGCACATCTGTGGATTATTACACCTTTTCGCAAAATGGCAGTGAGAAGTCCCATGAGTGGCTTTTAAAGAGTACCATCCCCTTGCCTGCCCATTATACTAGTGAATGCTACATTGGTGGTCCAGCTGAAGGATGCATTTTCATACAATGCTTTCGAGATGAAGAGGATACAAAGTATTCAGCATTTTTTTCACTTGAGATTAAGTCTTTCAATATTGAGAGGGTCAGAAGGACAAGGTTCGCTGCTTTTGCCTATCCATATTTTGGTTTCCCACCATCTATGTCACCAAGGAGGATTTAAGGATATGGAGAGGTATGTTTTTTATTCCAAGTCTTGCCTCTTGCATTTCAGACCTGTACATTTGGGCACTGGTTGTGTGAATGAGCGATTAGTAAGCACCCATCGCAGTCTGCTTGTTGGCCTACATCAAGATGGCCTGTTGAGCAGATTTTCCGTGGGAAAAACTGGCTCATGAGATAGGCTTAAGATCAGCCAAATAATCCTTTGTTTATAATGACCTTCAGCCAGTTCTTCTAATGCATGTGCCGGAACTCCAGTCTTGTTCCTTGTTCAGCCTAGCTAGGGTTGGCCGCACAAGTCAATTTGTTGGAGCTATGTCAGTTCAGACTTTTGTCACTTTTTGTAATCGCAAATGATCATAATTCTTACTGCAATCCATTTTGTTGTGTTCCTCTCTAAAACAAAAATAAAAGTGTCGTGCACCTTTGCTTTTTAGTACTACATTTGTGCAATTCAGTTAAATTTCGCTCTCCATGCTTTCAGAAGTTCAAACTACGTATTGGTCTTTTCAAAAAAAAAAAAGGAAGAAAAGAAAACTACGCATTGGCACTGAGAGTTTGAAAAGCAATTATTTTTCCTGCATTTGCATTTGTGATTTTCTAAGTTCTAACTTCATCCATTCAGTTGTAGGACTAGATTCGAGTCCTGGTCAGTGGTTCCATCAGTGCCATGCTGCTTGTTTGGGGTAGTGGAGCTGGGTGATGATGATGCAGAGGCCTTTAGTTAGATTTTCCTCGTTATTCTGTACTCTACTGCTATTATCTGTTGAACTCTGTTCAGTCTGATGTAGTTATCAAACTTGCGTTCTATATATTTCAAGTGTTATTACTGATCTGTGTGACTGCATCGCGTGAATGACAGATACTAAGGCATTGTTGTGTGCCACTTGACAACATGGCTGAGTTTTGAGTTACTGTAGGTTCTAATTCTAGTGATGATTTTACAGCGGTTAACTGACATATCCTATGTTTGTCTTTGGGCAGCCAGTTAATATGTTGTTTTTTACTTACTGTATTTATCTTATCCCCATCCACATTCAGTCATCATAATATTTCTTTATAATCCAAAAAAAGAAAAAAAAAGCGACAAAAAAAAGGAGTGTCCCTGAAGCCATTGTGATGGTTGCTCTCACTCCTTGTGCCAATGAATTGGATGTAAATTGCCATATGATCTGGAGTACAAGAGTTCTCAACAAGCTGAGGGCTTTTTCCGCTTCAGGTGCCTTTTTATTGTTCTATGTTTCTTATTAGGTGCAGTCCTATCGATTTGTTTCCACTGGAGCATGTTTGGGTCAATGGCACATCACTTGTGCATTCTTGATCTAGTACTCCTATATCTGCATATGTGAATATTTTGATGTAGATGCACTGGATTCAGATTCTTTAATTTTGCTGTATTTGTAGTTTGTTCTGCAAACTGCAATGCCTACCTTGGTAGCCTACAATCCATGGTGCTGCACTGTTTGCATATTTAGCAGGATAATTCTATTCTTGCGGTACAACAAACTAGATAAAATATGGACCAGTACAAAAATGATTACCTAATTAATTTGGATTTGGTTCCTCCTAGCGTCATATATTTCTTCATCGACAATAGCCTGTTAACCTGAACCTACAAAGACAAGTTGCATACGTAAGACAAAAATAATGCAAAACAACAGCTAGTTACTGAACTGAACATAAACATCAATGCATATACAATTTAAGTATCTAACCATTGCATAAGGACTTAAGATAACTTGTTTGGATGAGATATAGGTAGTAGCAATCTTTATCTGGTTCTCCCTCCTAACCTTGTTCAGTTGTTCTCCTTCAGCCTCTGTACATGAAAGCAGGATAGGAGATACAGCACATATGCACTGTACATGCAGGCAGCTGATTGTTCAGGAAGCAGGCCATATTCTGTAGATGAGACCGTTTGTTTATACACATAATAAATCCGTGAAACCCAAGGACTAAGGAGATTAAAAATTAGTACTGTGACAATGTTTCTGTATTTTGTGACCACTTCTTTTTCAGAAATGTTATGTGAGCTTTAGCTACAGTTATGCAGTAGAGCTGAAAGTCGCTCTTGGTTTCATTATATCTGAATAGTAAGTTGACAATGTTTCTTAATCATTGCGCCTGCTCAGTGCATTCGTTTTTTTTTTTTTTTTTTTTTTTGCGTGAGCCTGCTAGTTAGCCGCGGCCTGATTTTCATGTGCATGCTGTTAGTGCTCTGTTCACTTGTTCAGTGCTCTGTGCGATACTGCTAGTTTGGTTATACTAGTGTTGAGGAACTGAGAAAGCTTGCATGTCTGTTGCATATATTAATTTTCTTTAAAAAGTATTTTTCTGGCATAGCTGAAGCTCGCATCTCAAACCCATTTCTGTAACATTAGCATGAATTATAAATTCTGAGTTGGATGTTGGCTGGTTCTGGGACAGAGGTGGTGTTAATTAGTGTTAGGCGACCTAACAGAACAGCTGCTACTACTTTAGTCAGTTCAGAATTTCAGATGCACGCCGACTCTTGCAATAAGACCTAATAGAACAACAGCTACTTTAGACGACCTACTTATCTGCTGGTGCATCTGAAAATTCTGAATTGACTATATAGTAGCTGTTGTTACTCAGTTAAGCTATTACTCTGTTTTGCTGTTTTATTATGTTTTTCTGGCATGAGGATGCACTGGTTAGTAAGCATTCGTAGCATCGTAATTAACAGCATAGCATAAATGTCACATTGCATCGACTAATAGTGATTTTTCTCATCTAATTGCAGGGTTGATTCTATATGTTCTGGCCTGCTGGTATGCTGGTTGTGAGGGAGATTGTAGTGGATTTATGCCTAGACACTCAAAAATTCTCTTTGGTTAGAGCATCTCCAGCAGTCCCCTAATACTTCATCCCCAATAGGATGGTATTGGTGGCCACCAATACTACTTTTTCAGATTATTGGGGGAGATGCTCCAGCAGATCACCAAAAAATCCCCCCAATATGTGGGACCTGGCTGTCAGATTTGTCTCCTTGCTTGGTCTTTCTCATGTGTTCGCATCTCCCACGTTCACTTCCACCCACCCAGATCCTGCTGCACAACGCCAGCCCCGTGGAGTACGAGGCCTGCAGCGACCACGTGCTCCTCCAGCCACCCACCGTGGCCACGGCGTCGGCCAGCGACCCACTCGCCGCGAGCATTTCCCCGGACGCGTCGTGCGAGGGCTTCTAGCGTGCGGCTCATCTCCGGCGGGTGGCTCCTCCGGCGTGCGGATGCAGCAGCAGCTCCTCCGACTAGCGGCTGCAGCAGCTCCTCCGGCGGGCGCATCTCCGGCGGGCAGCTGCAGCAGCTCCTTCGCGCGGGGCATCTCTGGCGGGCGGCTGCAGCAGCTCCTACGGCAAGCGGCAGCAGCAACGGCTCCAACATCTCCTCCGGCGGGCGCATCTCAGGTCGTCGGCATGGTTGGGGAGGAAGAGGTGACAGGGTCCCACTGTTTTGGGCGAGATCCAACTCCCCTTTTATTTGAGGGAAGAAGAGGTGTTTTTTTGTTGATCACCAAAACAAGGGGACCATATTGGGGAGCTGTTGGAGCAATGAATTTGGCTCATCTGGGGGATGGTAGTAAGATTAACGCAACCTGTAGTTTTGTCGTAAACCTATAGACTCTGGTATGTTTTCTTGGGTTGCTTAACACATTCATCTGAAGCTAACGTGGATGAGTAGCTTTCTGGTAGATCAAAGTTCTATCTGTTTGGTTAACCTATGAGATGAAGAGTTTGTATGCTCTGAAGCCAATGGTGATGAGTAGTTTTCTGTTAGATCAAAGTTCATCAGTTTGGTTGCCCTATGAGATGAAGAGTTTGTGTGCTTTGAATTAGTAAATTAAATGATCTTTTCCGTCCAATGCGTATATTGTACCGTTGAAAGATTATTTGGGGTAGATCAAGATATTTATGTTAACATACAATTTAGTGGTTATAGTCTGCTATAGCCCCATTTAATTTCGCTATTAGCTATTTTAGATGTCATTCGCTAAATACCATAGCTGGAGATTTAAAACGTTGGGTGTAACACATCAAAGGGTCCTTCAGCTGGTTCTAGGTCACTGCCTGCGTGTATTCATTTTTTTTACCACACATTTTTTATGCGTGCGGTTTATATAGACGAGCACATCCAAGTGAGGAAGTGATCATCAAAGCCGTTCACAATAACTCTCCTGGCCACGGCAGACTATGATCAGGTTCGACTATACTCAATATGGCAGTTTCTAAGGCAATACTTGAATTTTCAGTCTTCAATCATTTTCTTCAAGAGCACTGATGCTCTGTGCAATCAATACTGCTTGATTTTTTAAACTTGTTTCACACGCTAAGATGCCAACACAGTCAAAACACTGAAAGCTGAATTCACTCATCAGATTGTTCCTTTACTGGTGACACTACACAGCAGTTTTGCCCATCGTAGCTGTAGCTTATGACAGTGAACATGAACTGCTAGAACACCTATGCAGACACAGGGTGGCCCTTCAAGAAGCTGACCAGGAGATCATTCACCTTGTCCGGGAACTGCTCCTGAACGAAATGGCTTCCTTCAGGGATGTAGGTGATCTTAAGGTCCGGTGCGAATTTCTCCATGATGCCATCTTTCAAAACGGACTCAACCCCAGGGAACTTGAACACATAGTCTTTCTCCCCCATGACAACAAACACCGGGACTTGGAATTTTGGATCTTCGATTGGCTTCCTTTTATGGAGAGACCTGTCAAATGCAGCATATTACACCTTGATTTTTCAAAACCCACAAAACAAATAGTATGGTTGGCCCAGTTGCTATTGCTACCTATATGGCATCTCCATTGGATACCGGAAACCTGATTTCTCATAGAGTGAAGCATACACAGCGAGATCATCCTCAGTGAACCACTCTGGAAGAGGTGTTGACAAGTCCGCAAGGTCCATAATCTCTTGGTCTTCTTTTGCTATTGGGATTTCGCTCCTAGAGAAGAGCACGTAGATGGTCCGAACAACTCTCTTGACATCATACCGGCCAAAATCAGCCTCTGCTCTTCCTGGTTCCTACAAGAACAAGCTTCCCCTGTCATTGTTTTTGGCCGCTCTACTCAATTTGGCAATGGGGGTTATATACTTTTTAGATTAGAGACCAAACCCGCCAGCGCAAAATGTAGAAGCCTTCTGGCAAGCTGGTGAAGGATGAGCCACCGTTAAGGAAGGGGATCCCCAAACACATAACACCACATGTGCGGCTAGGGTGACGAAGAGCAAACTCATAGGCTGGCATGGCTCCGAAATCCTTCGCCACAAGGAAAGCCTGGCACGACTCACAAGGTAAGATTTTTTTCTCGAGAAATTATACTGTGATTGGAAATTATTTGATTCAACTGAACTAATGACTTAATAGATAATAGAAGCTTGGCAGATAACCAAAATAGGCAAAGCTTAGTCTGTTGGACAAAATAACTGCCAAGAAGGTTTCTCTAAGAAATACACAGGAATTTCTATCTTCTTTTTTTCTTCATTTTCCCACCTTATTCTGAATAAAATAAAACTGCCAAGAGGTTGGATTGAAAACGTTCATCTTATTTTCTTCAATCTAAATATACTCCCTCCAGTTCTCTAAAACAAGTCGTTTTGAGGTTGTCTTAAGTCAAACATTTTAAACTTTGACTATAAATAACTTTTTTTTGGGTTGAGTTTGAAAATATGAAAGTGATATAAGTAAATTCATCTCGAAATGTAGTTTCATAAAAGTATATATTGACTATATTTTATAAATATTTTATAGCAAAAAGTTGCAGTCAAAGTCGTTTCTTAAAGACCGTGTCGATGTCCAAAACGACTTGCTTTAGAGAACCGGAGGGAGTACACACTAAGTATGTTTTCCCGACAAATCATATTGTCACATGAGATGGAAAACAGTGGTGAATGGATTCTACATTCTGTAACTTTCTGATGGTAAACATGCCCTTAGAATGACACAAACTTGACAGTAATTTTCCTTAAGAACCTACTTCATCCACAATTTTTTTTTCTTAATTTTCCTTGCATATAGTTTGAGAAATTCATTCCAGATCCTTCAAAACATGTAGCCATGTCGGAACACTCTTACATGGTTGCACCCATCATGCCAATCTGACTAGTATCATATTAGATAAGCTAACAGTAACAAGTCACACTGAAGTACTGAACCAAACCAACTACCAAGAAATTTTTTCCCCAATCAAGACCAAACCCAATAAGTCAATAACTTGCCACTGCGATTCTAGAAAAAGCGGTATTACCTTGGGAATGGAGAAGGCATCGAGGATTGCGAGGAGATCCTCCACCAGGTCGTCGTACGACGCGGCCTCCGGCTCCAGCGGCTGGTCCGAGAGCCCGTACCCTCGCCAGTCCGGCGCGACGGCGCGGTACCCGGCGGCGGCCACGGCCAGCATCTGGTGGCGCCACGAGTACCATATCTCCGGGAATCCGTGCAGGAACACCACCGTGCCCAGCTCGCCTGCAGCAAAAACGAGACGGCGACAGGAGAGGCGTCGCTATGCTTCAATCTCGAGCGCATGCGCACCGGCCTTTAACAGAGGAAGCTTGAGCCCGCCGGCGAGCAAGAGAGCAGATGCGAACCTTTGCCTGCTTGGGCCACGTGGAGGCTGAGGCCTCGGATTTGGAGATGGCTGTGCTCGACTTGCTGCTCCATGTTCATGGCCACTTCTTTGCAGATTTGTGAGGTTGGACTTTTGGAGAGATGGCTGAAGTTACTTCAGAATTCAGAGCGAGTGTGCTGGTGTGCACATAAGGCTTATGTAAGGGGCAAAATTGTCTTCTCAATTTCTTTTTCTTTTTGAATCAGAATCGCTCCATTGCATTTGCACTACGGCTGGCGATTCATGTAGCTCCCTACGTCTCTTCTCGCGCCACCAACTCTCTTTGCGTTCTTTTTTGCTTGTTGCTATCTCCACCTCTGGATCTCGTTGCCGTGCCTGCTGTCGACGAAGGAGGTGGAGTCATCGCTAGGACCGTGAGGCACTTGACGTGCGTCCTCTCGTCCATGCCCCTTCCACTCCACTATTGCTCGTCGCCAAGATGCGACTTGCCCTTCTCTTCTCTCGTTGCTCTCCTTTCTTGTTGCTTCCGTGGTGCCCTCTTTTTTTAAAGGAATTGGTGCCCCTTTTCCCCGCACCATGCTCTTCTTCGTGTCGATCTAGCCGACCCTCCTCTTCCTCTTCCATGGTGCGAGCTGGAGCTATTGTGAAAGCCCTACCAAACGGCATTGCTATGAGTCTAGTGAGCAAGGGAGTAGGAGCAATGGGGAACGGGAACCGGAGTGAGTTAGAATGGGCTAGGAGCAATGCCAAATGGCCCTTCATGTATGAAGATGAAACGCCAAAATCTAGCTCTACAGGTTGGGGGAACTGCTTCGCCACTAGCATGGTGGCACTAGGGCACCGGAGCGCACAAAGTGGAGTCACACCATAGGCGTTTCTTTAGATAAAGAATTTGTACCTATATCTATACCTAATATTAAAGAGCTAAGTGTTTCTTTCAACCTGCTTTTTTATTTCTAAAGTACTTTTAATTTGGTCCGTTCTCTCTTATGTCCGATTACACTCGGACTCGCACGCCCCTATTGCGAACCAATTAGAAGTTGTACCATTGCGAACCTATTGCAGGATCCTCCCCTGAGTCCCCCCCTAATTTTAAACGAAATCGACCATCTTCTTCGACCCAACTAACTAACAAGAAGCGACAGCACGAGCAAAGAGATCTGCGTACATAGATTCCTCCAGGGATGTGCGGATTCGATTCAGTCAAGGCTGATGAACGGGACGAGGCTGTGTCAGGTCGCGGAAGCTCCAAAACTTGGGTCAACGCAACTAAAACTTGGGTCAACGCAACTGACCAGTGAGAATGTGCCTCCAGACCCCACAGGTTGAGAGCATCTCGGTGGGAGGACATGGGCTAGGTTGGGCCACAGTGTTACCCACCCACCGTTGGGCTTTGGCTGGCTCAGTTTTTTTTGTCAGGTCTTATTTAGTTTCTCCGCGTAAAGTTTTTGACGTCACATCGGCGGTTATATGGGGGCGTTGCATGGAGTGTTCGGATACTAATAAAAAACAAATTACAAATCTGTCTGCAAACTGCGAGACGAATTTATTAAACCTAATTAGCACATGTGTTACTGTAGCATTTTATTATCAAATCATGGACTAATTATGCTTAAAAGATTCGTCTCGCAAATTAATCGTAAACTATGCAATTAGTTATTTTTTAGTCTATATTTAATACTCCATACAGGTGTCCCAATATTCGATGTGATATGGTATAAAGTTTTTAGGAGAAACTAAACAAGGCCTTAGTTTTATTTAACTGGCCTATTCATCAGTAGGCCTCTTTTTTTCCAGTGACTCAAGATATTACGGTATTCATGCAGGTTATGCAGATCTAGGGTACCATCATAGCTACGAGAAAAGGGTCAAAACAATGACTCAAACAGATATGTTCATGATCATGGGTACACATCGGTATGAAAACATAATACCACCTCTGTCAAAAAAAAAAATACAATTCAAACACAGTGTCACGTTTTAATACTTTAAGTTTGATTAATTATAGATAAAAAAGTATCTATGTTTACGATACCAAATAATTATCATCAGATTAATTATAAAATATATTTTTATAATAAATTAATTTAAAACCATAAATATAAATATTATATTATTTACTAAAAATTTAGTTAAATATGAACCACTTTTTATTGCACAGTATTACATTTTTTTTTCATGACGGAGGTAGTACTACGCTTCTGCTAGTTGAAACTCGAGTGACGTCTTTATCAGGACGCTAGGCCTCAAAGTGGCCACGACAATCCATGGATTGCCTCAAAATTCTAAGTTTTTTTATTCTCTCTCTATCACATCAATTTTTAGACGTATATATGGAGCACTAAATGTAGGTAAAAAAAAACAAATTACATAGTTTGATTGTAAATCACGAGACGAATCTTTTGAGCCTAGTTAGTCCATGATCGGACAAAGTTTATCAAATACAAACGAAACGTGCTACAATATCCAGATTGTAAAAATTTGCAATCTAAACAAGGCCCAAGGATCTTTATTCTTGCAATCCGATAGTACAGCTGCCAGCACTCCCTATGACTGTTTGTGTCCTTCATTTATGAAGGGAAGATGGGACAGTACATCTTTTTTCTGAACTTATATTTTTGGTGTTTGTTTTGGACTATTTCTATTGTACTTTATATAAGTTTTAGACTTATATTGTTAAATTTAAAAATTATTATGTAGCTTAGTACTTGATACCAATTAGATACACATTATTTTTTATCAAGTTGTTGAATGGATTTTACCAAGCTATATATAAAGTATTTTGTACAACATATCCTTTGGCAAAATTCTAAGTCTGCTACTGACCCGTGTACACAAGTTACAACAGCGCACATCGAATGATGGTACAGCCTGAAGTTTGATCCGCCATTGGGTAGAAAAGGTTGTTGTGGCTAGAGTCGAGGTCGATGCGGTGCAGGGAGTACACGTCGGTGACCCAGTTCCGCGTCACCAGATTCAGGAAATGCAGCCGGTGGCTCATGGTCGACGACGGGGCACGCACCGCGCACAAACAAGATGTGGCGGCGGCGTCGAGTACAACAGCAGAGAATATGCTGTGCGTCTAATTCCAGTCCACGGGCCGCTTACGGCTCATGGCCCGACTGCTCTCAATCTAAGTGTTTAGTATAAAGAAAAAGCCCATTTTTTCTACCTTAACTTTTGCGAAAGTCCGCATTTCCTCCCTAAACTCTAAAACCGGTCAAACCACCTCCCTCAACTTTTGAAACCGTGCGTTTTACCTCCTTGGCCAGGTTATAAGCGGTTTTGAAGGCGGTTTTGTATTTTTTTTCTTTTTATTTATTTTGGCTGAATCTTTGAAAAATCATAGTAAATCACAGAAAAATCATAAAATAAAAGATCAAATTTTGTTGGATTCCACATGAGTATATCTACACAGTGAATATATAATATGGTATGCTTTAGCACAAAGTTTTTGCTGTAGATTTTGATCTATTCTTTTCTATAATTAATTGGAATAATTCATAACTGCAGTTTTAGTGGTCCCATTGTGGTGAAATTTTTATGGTGGACTAATTATTGTATGCTTAAATTGTAATAAAAAATTTATACTCATTAAATCATGTATTACTTAGTTAAAATTTATTTAGATTTAACAAGCATAAACACTAAATAAATGTATAATTAAGTTATACATGATCCAATGAGCATGAAATTTTTACTACAGTTCAAGCATACAATAATTAGGCCACCATAAAAATTTCACCATAATTAGACCATAGATACTGCAATTATGAATTATTCTAATTAATTACAGAAAAGAATAGATCAAAATCTACAACAAAAACTTTGTACTAAATTATACCATATTATATGTTCACTGTGTAGATCTATTCATGTGGAGTCCAACAAAATTAGATTTTCTATTTTATGATTTTTCTATAATTTACTATAATTTTTCAAAGATTCAACCAAAATAAATATAAAAAAAAAACAAAATCACCTCTAAAACCGCTTATAACCAGCGCAGGAAGCTAAAACACACGGTTTCAAAATTGAGGGAGATGGCCCGGTCGGACTTTCTTATAAGTTGAGCTAGAAAAAACGGGGCACTACCATCCAGCGATGCGGTTGCGGCGGCGCTACGCGGAATTCCTCAGGCGGGCGTCCGCCCTGCCGTCCCTTCCGCTGGTGGCCTCCCTCCACGCCGCGGTGCTCCGGCGCGGGGTCCCCGCCCTCCTCGCGGCGTCCCTAATCCACGGCTACTCGGCCTGCGGGGACCTCGTCTCCGCGCGCGCCCTGTTCGACGAAACGCCCCCGACGCTCTCGTCCCGCACCGCGCTCGCCGGCGCGCTGTCGGCGCACGGCCGGTGCTCGGAGGCGCTGGCGCTGCTCGCCGTCCCGGAGGCGGAGGCGGACGACAGAGCGGTGACGGTGCTCCTGGCGGCGTGCGCGCGCGCCGGGATGGTGGCCGAGGGGAGGCGCGTGTTCGCGAGGGTGCCACGCCCCGCGCTGCAGCACTACACGTGCATGGTGGAGATGCTGGGGCGCGCCGGGGAGGTGGAGGAGGCGGAGCGGCTCGTGGCCCGGATGGAGGCGCGCCCGGACAGGGTCATCTTCGCGGCGCTCCTCGCCGCGTGCCGCGTGCACGGCCGCGTCGACGTCGCCGAGCGGGTGGCCGGGCTCATGCGCCGGTATGGCATTGCGTGAAAACTCGCTGTCTGACTAATGGATCAGCATTTGAAGACTTGAAGTGCAGTTCAGACCCGAGATCTGGGCATCCATCGTCGTGCATCTTTTGCGATGATTGCTTGGATATGAAGCTGACTTTGTGGTAGTGACGCGGTGTTGCTTGTTAGTACATTGGATGTATCCAGTCTTTCATGCAGCAAGAGCCCCTCCTGGCTGGTAAATTCAGAAATCTGTTAACTGACTGACAGTGTCTGCTGTTGGTGGTCTTCAGGTCAGTTCTTGCATCGCATTACATTGCGCCTGAATGCGACAGATGCCTCTAATCGATGCCCATGTGGTGTGTGAATGTAGATTGTCATGCCAATTTTCTTGTCTCAGACTGTAAATTCTCACATCAACTTGCTGGAGCCAGCAGTGCAGTCATAGAACTTGTGAAACATGGATGCTTGGTTACAAAGTTTAACTTTCAGTCAAGTTTTGTGCAACAAAGGTCTGACTGAGACTTCCATGAAACTGACAAATTTGGCGTTGCTGTCATGTCTGAGAACTTGTGGTGAGGAAAGCTTGAAATTAAGGTCTAGAAGCTGCTGAGTTTCCAACATGTTCCGTGGTAGGGAATGTATTTTGCTGACATTGCTGGAAATGGAATGGCCACTTGTGCTTAGAAAGCCAGTACTCAGTATTGTGCTATAATGGAGACATGCCTGAAGTAAGAATCTTAACATCCAGATTTATTCGGTGCCATACTTCCTGAGTTAACATGAAGAATGTCATCTGACTGGAGCTCGAAAGATTCTTCCGATAATTAGGATATGGCTGTGCGTCTGTGACAGAATCCAAAGTTGGGCCTAGGAATTTCAAATATTCTGATACTGTTGCCGACAAGAAACAACTCTAATAGCAAGCTTGAAACCTGGACCACAGTAGCAGGGGAGACAGATACTGCACATATGCTTGGAGTATAGCGGTCTTACCGGTTGACGCCGTGTTATGTTGGGTTGACATTAAGCCTGTCCTGTGATTGGAGCACTTCACATCGTTTGGATAAGTCACCTATGGCTGTAATAGACTTGTAGAAAGTTGGGCCAGGATATTTCACAGATTCTGATACTGATCCTGAATTCCTGACTGAAGACAAATCAACTGAGGGCTGGAACAAATTAGCAGGTAAGGCAGAAGAAATGGATAAACGCATAAGCATCAGCATCTTTGCCCTTCCTTGCATCCAAAGCAACTCACGAAGGGAATTTTCATGGCATTCTTCATGTCCAGCAATGATAAATCGACAATTCCGCGGCTGGCAGGGCGACTCTCTCCTCTGCCAGACATTTGTACGCTGATGCTGATCGCTGACAGGGAGAGGCACCCAGAGTCAGCAGCCAGCTGAAGCAAGCTGCAAGCCTGAAGGTGAGCCCGACCACCATGGTGGCATCTGACAAAGAACCTGTCACCGTGCACTTGTAGAGGCTACAAGTACAGGTTCGAGGAATGTACTACCAGATTCACAGATACCTGTGCCGCAGTGGCGTTTGCTTCACGGCTGTTTGTCTGCCAAGAACAGCGCATGGCCGTTGCTTTCGGTCTTTTACTAGGGCAGCACTGCCAAGCGTACAAGGCTCCAACTCAGCTGCCGTGCCCAACTCCAACTAGCGTTGCTTTCAGTCTTGGTTCTATGCTAATCTGCATGTACATGCCAAGATGTGTGCACTTCTGTCTTTGTCTCCCTGCTGAATGCTGATAGATAAAAGAGTTGTTCTATGCTAAGCCAAATTTTAGAGGAGGTATGCCAAATTCTGTTGTAACTTATGGCCGGGAAGTTTCATGATTTCTAGTTTTTCCTACGAAGTTGAACAAATTCCTGTTAAATTCCTCAAACGGGTCCTTAAGGTTCAGATGAAGAGGAACTCAACATTTGTAGTATTTTGTAGTACAGAACTTGTAAAACCCATCTATTCCAATTTTCGAATGAAATTCATGGCCGTGGTCCGTGGAGCAGCCGACAGTAGTTCCCGCGGGTGCCAACCATTGGTTCAGCGGCGAAGACCAAATGCCAGCTGGAAGCATCAAGCACCGTCGATTTCCTCACAACCTTCATCGGAGCCGTTGCTTTCGCGTGTGGCCTTCCTGCTGGCGGCCGACAGGGTCCACCTCACCGCCTCCGTGCCGCCTCCTCAGCCGGCGCCGGGGCCCGCGAAATCTCCTCGACCGCTGCTTTCTCTTCCTCCTCCGGTCCTCCCCCATCCTTTCCACCCATCATCCACCGCCTCCCTCCTCCCGCAGCGCGCAAAGCCCTATCCCTATCCCTATCCCTATCCCCACTCGCCGCCGCCCGTCCACATGGCCAGTTTTGGCGTCGACACCCGCCCGGCCGCCGCGGCCTCCGGTGGCGGCGGCGGCGGCAGCGGTGGCGGCGTTGCGGGGACGACAGGCGAAGGCGCGCTCTCGTTCCTCTCCCGCGGGCTGCGGGAGGACCTCCGCCTCATCCGGGCGCGGGCCGGGGAGCTCGAGACGTTCCTGAGCGCGCCGGTGCCGGAGCCCGAGCTGTTCACGCGCCTCCGCCGCGCCTACTCCTCCTCGGCGTCCTCGGCGCGGACGCGGCTCGACCTGTCCGCGTTCGGGAAGGCGTTCGAGGCCGACGCGTGGAGGGGCGCCAGGGCCACCAGGTGGAGGTGGGAGGAGGAGGCCGAGGAGTGGGAGCCCGTCAGGATGGTCAAGGCCCGCCTCAGGGAGCTCGAGCGGAGGAGGCAGGCCCAGTCGCCCAGCGACATGCTGCACAAGCTCAAGCTCAGCTTGGTAAGCTTCCTAGAAACATTTGGTATAGTTCACTGTTGATTAGAATAGGATACTAAACCTCGAGAAGCAAGCAACAACACCCAAAATCCAACACGGCTCAAATTAAGCAGGACTGTCAACTTACTTGAGCCATTGAGCGTGTGCGTTTTGTCTTTCAATTGGAAGAAGTTGATTGTGGAAATTGTGCAGTTCCCTTTGGTGTCAAATGAAGATATTGATATTTGTTTGAATTTGTATGGGAATAAACTCTCATGCAATTCAAATTGAATTGCTTCGTGGACACAAATTTAATGTGGAATCGTGCATATTTTCTTAGTAGCTTTTCTAAATAGTAGTTTTTGATCCAAAGAGTACTTGAGAATTTGAAAAACAAGGTGTGAAAATTCGAGATTTTGGTTAGTATAGTTTCCATATTTGGAAGAAATGAGGCTAGAAGGAGCACTCTGGGACTGTTACCTCTTACCTGCTCAATAGATTTGATATTTCTATCATGTGCCACAGCAACTAATAGAATTGAAATTGCGAATCGTGTACTGAATGAATTAAGGAAAATAGTAATATTAAACAATTGGTGGTTCAAAGCTCATAGAGATGTTCTTCTGTGAAGTCTACAAGTCTAACCAATTTTATTTTCTTCAAATTTAGATTTATATAGAAGGGCGGGCCTGGTGCAAGCGGTAGAGTCTTACCGCCTGTGACCGGAAGGTCCCGGGTTCGAGTCGCGGTCTCCTCGCATTGCACAGGCGAGGGTAAGGTTTACCACTGACACCCTTTTCCCAGACCCCGCACAGAGCGGGAGCTCTCTGCACTGGGTACGCCCTTTATGTTTAGATTTATATAAACATAACTTATAGACATTGAGGACTAGAATTCAACAATGAAAAGTGAGCAGTTGCAAATTTAGTCATAGTCTTCACTCTTCAATAGATTCAGTATCTGCATAATCATGTAATTTACACTTGCTTGGAACGTGTCAATCTTAATTAAGCTTATCTCGGGATATACATGATGCAGACTGCTCTTGTTCCTGTAGCATATTAATTGACGCAGCATTGCACTTCTTATTGCAGAAATCAATGACCTTTGCGCCTGAAGCGTCTGAGGTTAGTCCTCTTGATTCACTTCTTGTTGCAGAGTCCTGTCAAGGAGATTCACTTCTGAAATCTTTTGCTCATAGTGGCGTCTTTTATTTGCTTATATTTAATTACTGACTTCTGACATTGACTTTTGCAAGAATGTTCAATCTAAATAAAAATCATTATGTTAAATGTTGCTTTCAATACATTACTTATGTATAGTAATATGGTCACTATGTAACATTTTCCGAAATCCTGGTACACCTGATCTCTTTTGTATATCTTTGTAAATCCTATTAAGCAAAAGATGAACATTCCATCTTGTTAGAACACAGTCTAATCAATCTTGTCCACTTTTGCATTTTCATAACTAGTATCGCTGCTGTGCAGGATGTTCCACCACTGGACTTAGGAGAACTTCTTGCTTATTTTGTAAAGCAATCTGTACCACTATTCGACCAACTTGGTATAAAAAGAGGTAAGATGCTTGATTTTTGTTTACAATAGCTATAATGTTTAGCTTGCATTGAGCTGATTATTCTTTCTCATCTGCTTTAGATGTATGTGACAAGTTGGTGGAGTCTCTATGCAGCAAGCGCAAGGACCACCCTGCATATGGGTTTTTGTCAGCAAGTGAACCATCTTCATTGAGAAATGAAAATGTTGGGGATGAACTCGACCTAAGAATAGCTAGTGTCCTACAGAGTACAGGACACCATTATGAAGGTGGATTTTGGAGTGATGGGCATAAGTCAGACATATCTGGCAAGAGACATGTTGCCATAGTCACCACTGCCAGTCTTCCCTGGATGACTGGAACAGCTGTGAATCCTTTGTTTCGAGCTGCATACTTGGCTAAATCTTCCAAGCAAGATGTAACTTTGGTAGTGCCCTGGCTTTGTAAGTCGGATCAAGAACTTGTGTACCCCAATAGCATGACTTTTAATTCACCTCAAGAGCAAGAAACTTATATGAGGAATTGGCTGGAGGAAAGAGTTGGTTTCAAGACAGACTTCAAAATATCATTTTATCCTGGAAAGGTAACTTTTCCTTTTTCAGCACAATATTTCAACACTATGTGCATAGCTCATGTAGTCGTGATTTTTTTCCAACAACAGTTTCAGAAGGAAAGGAGAAGCATAATTCCTGCTGGGGACACCTCACAGTTTATACCATCAAAGGAAGCTGATATTGCAATCTTGGAAGAGCCCGAGCACCTCAACTGGTATCATCATGGGAAACGTTGGACAGACAAATTCAATCATGTCGTCGGTGTAGTGCATACAAATTATTTGGAGTACATCAAGAGGGAGAAGAATGGTGCTATCCAGGCCTTTTTCGTTAAGCACATTAATAACATGGTCGCCAGAGCTTATTGCCATAAGGTACTTAACAAATTATGTTATTCCTCTGATGTTTGAGCCATCGGCTTGATGTGTGGTTGTATACTATATTACAAGCTGTATATTTGTTTGTGGGCTGATGGTGTCTATGCTATGTAGATCTTGCGGTTGTCAGGTGCTACTCAAGATCTGCCCAAGTCAATGATCTGCAATGTGCATGGTGTCAACCCCAAGTTTCTGGAGGTCGGAGAGAGAATAGCAGCAGAGCAGGAGTCTGGCCAGCGATCCTTCTCTAAAGGAGCTTATTTTCTGGGGAAGATGGTCTGGGCCAAGGGTTACAGAGAGTTGATAGATTTGTTCGCGAAGAACAAGAGTGACTTGGAAGGCTTCAAGCTGGACATCTATGGAAACGGTGAGGATTCACACGAGGTGCAATCGGCTGCCAGGAAGTTGAATCTGAACCTCAACTTTCATAAAGGCCGGGACCACGCGGATGATTCTCTTCATGGGTAAAAGACCAGAACTACTCAGTTGCCTTTTTTAGACATTCCCTGCCTATATGTGATGATGCTATATCATTTTATTCTCTTGTCAATTTGAATGTCTGCCCTGTTCCATTTTTAGGTACAAGGTTTTCATAAACCCGAGCATCAGCGACGTCCTCTGCACCGCGACCGCGGAGGCACTAGCAATGGGCAAGTTCGTGGTGTGCGCCGACCACCCGTCCAACGACTTCTTCCGGTCATTCCCCAACTGCCTGACCTACAAAACATCCGAGGACTTCGTCGCCAGAGTGAAGGAGGCCATGACCCGCGACCCGCAGCCCCTGACCGCTGAGCAGCGGTACAACCTGTCCTGGGAGGCCGCTACCCAACGGTTTATGGAGCACTCCGAGCTCGACAAGGTCCTGAACAGCGACAGCAGCGAATGTGCCGGCTCCGTCACCACCGAATCCGGCAAGAGCAGTGCGAACACAAGGATGAGGAGATCCGCCTCGGCGCCCAACATGTCGGACGTCGTGGACGGCGGCCTGGCGTTCGTGCATTACTGCTTCACCGGCAGCGAGCTCCTGAGGCTGTCGACCGGCGCCGTCCCCGGAACCCGGAACTACAACAAGCAGCATAGCTTGGACCTCCACCTCCCGCCGCCCCAGGTACAGAACCCGGTCTACGGCTGGTAATTCCTAGCGCGTTAGCAGTATACAGGTGTAGTCGTATATTTATATATATATATAGCTCTGCAGTCTGTAACACTAGCGTTTCATCTCTGCTGCCAAGGCAAGCCATGTTTTTTTTTTTTTGAATAAACGGGGGGAGAGTTTCCCCACCTGGAATTTATTTCAAGAGAGCATGTCAAGCCACGGAGTTTTGAGCACAGTTACAGGATATGAGATACAGGCGCCAATGTGTAAGACCTGAGGCATCTCTCTCGGCCCTCAGACCACTTCTGTATGTTTCTGAACGCGCATGGGGGTGTTTGGTTCTTTAGTCGCTCATAAAATTTATGTCATATCGAATATTTAGATACTAATAAAGAGCATTAAATATAGATTAATTACAAAATCAATTACATAGACGAAGGCTAATTTATGAGAAGATTTTTAAAGTCTAATTAATCTATCATTAGCATAGGTTTACTGTAGCACCATGTTGTCAAATCATGAACTAATTAGGCTTAACAAATTCATCTCGCAAATTAGTCGCAAGTTGTGGAATTAGTTTCATAATTAGTCTATATTTAATACTTTATATATGTGTCTAAACATTTGATATGACAGAAATTTTAGGAACTCCTGTACAAACCAACGGAGCTAGATAAAGAGGCGAGCATTTCTTCTTTATCTAGAAAATAAGACGAGGCGACAACCAGGCAGGCCCTCTGTTTCCAAAAATTTTGATGCCGTTGCAGATTTGCAGCGTCGATGAAACATGCTGCGTCGTGCTGCTGCTGCTGCTCGCTTCCGTGTCTGGTACTAGCCAGCTAGTAGCACAGTAGCTACCATGCATGCCAGAATACATCGAGGCCTTGTTTAGATTGAAGATAATTTCAACCCGATGAATAGTAGCACTTTCGTCTTATTTGGTAAATATTGTCCGATCGTAGACCAACTAAGTTTAAAAGATTCATCTCGTGATTTCCAACTAAACTGTGCAATTAGTTTTTTTTTTTACCTACATTTAATGCTCCATGCAAACGGCTAAAAATTAATGTAATAGAGAGAAAGTGAAAAAACTTAGAATTTTGGAGTGATCTAAACAAGGCCCAAAGGTGGCAGTTGCATTGCATCGGAACCCACACGACGACCATGTCATGTCCCCTGTGTTTAGGGGCAGTGTACCATCAACTGTCATGATTGGTGAGCCATGGCTTTGGGAGAATGGAGCGTGGAATGTCCGTGTGACCGTGCCTGGTAGGACGACTCCTCCAATACTGATGGGGTCCAGTGCAGCGGCCAGTGGGTAGAGAGAGAACCCAACCTAGAGAGGGGATAAGAAGAGAGAGCTCTAGAGCTTAGCCCTACACTACACTACACTACACTACACTACCCTACCCACTGTGCGCCACGTCACTCTTTGCTGGGCATGTGTGGGTGGGCCTTCTCGTGTGGTCCCTGCCCCTGTGGGTATCTCGTTCTCTCGTACAGGCAGGGCAGCGCAGCCTGTGGGCCTTTTCTCCTCTCCCTGTTGCCATTGCCACCGAGCACTGGCAGGGTGGGTAGGGTCTAGGGTGGTGCCGCCCTGTTTCAACTTTGCAGGTGATGCAGTATTTGTACGCCCTTGTGAGTTGTGACTTGTGAGTGAGGAGGTGAGGAGTGAGGACCAATTTTCAGGCAAAGGATGAAAGGAGTACTCTTTTTTTTTCTTTCTACAAAACATACACCTAACCATCCCTTGTTATACTTTGGGCTAGACAACATCCATGCACGTACTAAAAATTGGATGATTGGAATTGCCACAGGAATGAAAGCGAATGGGATCAGTCAAGATAAGCTCTTTCTCGTTTTCACTTTAAAACGAAATCGAATCGAAAAGGCAAAAATGAACTAATGATAACGGTCAGGATCTGAAAAAACAATATGGGAATGCTAACACAGAGAACCAAGAAACATAACTTCACATATTGATCTTACTAACCCCACATGGCAACGTTATCAAGGCATAATTGACTGTAATTCTTACCATAATGTTCTTAAAATGACAAAAAGAGTACAAGAAAGCAGCATCTTAACTCCACAACACTGTGACCCAATGATCAGTCGGCTATGGACTGGGCTGCTGCAGTATGGTGTGTCTCGCTGTGCTGCATTATTGGACTTAGTTAAAAAGGAATATATAGTGTGGATAAAAATGGGATGTCTCAGTGAAAAAACCGGAAAAGCGAAAACACAGTGGGAAAACATTTTTCCATTTTTCCAAAAAAAAAACAAGTGAAAACGGTCGAGATGACCGTAAAGCGTAAATAAAAACTTCAAGCAGGTTCAACGTAGAAGTCAGGGTGGGATGAGATGGAATTTGTCTCAACCATTTTCACCCCCTAGTTGTCTGGGTAGGCAGTTTTTTCATGGTCCAATCTAAACATGATCTTGTAGCCTCGGCTGTTGAAAGCGTCGTAGGTAGTGGAAAAAGGTGAACATAACAACAGGTCCATAAATAAAACTTAAGCAAAACGTAGCAAGATCTTCGAGTGAAAGAGAAATGGGAACACTAAGGCTCTACAACAGCTCTAGATATATAAAAAAAACTCCACACCCAATTTTCCAAGCCAAATACATGACATGGATCTACTTATCAGATTTATAGATTTTACGGAGGTCCACAAGAGACGCTACGAAACTTCAAGATGTATAGAGTTGGCAAAAATTACCCACCATATTACACACGCCGTACCAATTCCTTTCTTTCTTTTCTGGACACCTTGCCGGTGCTCCTGACTATTGCTGCGCACGCCAAGAAGCCTCGCCGCGCCCTAAGCCTGTCGAGGCCTCAGAGGAGGCCGACCTCGCCGGACCCCCTCCCCCGCCGCGTCACACCTTCCTCCCTGCCTGGTCCCACACGACGAGCTCCATGCCCCGGGCCGAGGTGCTTCGACGTCCGCGCTCCGAGCCCAGCGCCGACGCCCTCCCACGCCCAGCCGACGCTGCTCGGGGCCTATCGTTAAACCTCCACTCACAGTCGACGACCCTCGTGTATGACCGTGGTTTTAGAGTACGGCATACCCGTTTCCATCCTTGCCCTGTCGGCCCGTGCATTTCCTTTTGCAGTAACGCTCGCTTGTTCAGGACAAGGATCGGACAGCAAGCTGTGACAGACAGTGTGACTGTGTGAGTGATCGATTGGAACCCCACCCAGGTCATGCATTGATCTGGTTGGGTACGGTGTGGGTGGGTGGGCCCGGCATGGCCCGAGAAGCTTGCCCTGGTGGAGTGGTGCTGGTGCCCATCCGCAACATGATGGTCACGAACCCTGTTTCGCTAAGCCGTCGTCGTTATGGTGCTAATAAACTCATTCACTCACACTCACTCACTGCAGGTCGTGTACTACTAGAGACAGCAGTGGCATTTGCAGGGATACATCCTGTTGGGCTCGAACGAAACGACCACACATAACACATCTGCCCTTCCTACCTGTAGCCCTGTATAGGTGCACTGCATTGCACTAGTGCACTGTTCGGAGTAGTAGATCCTGATGCAGTAACAGGAGCAGGAACAGAGTACCAGCCGTAGGAGCAAGAACGTAGAGTCGTCGATGGTACGCGCCGTGCCGGAGGGTGAAGAAGACTGACGACTGTCGACTGGACTGAAGACCCAGCGGGGACAGCCGACAGGTTGATCCATGATCCAGCCCATGATAGAGTGGTGACCTAGGGCAGCAGCAGTAGCAGGGCTACGCTACGACGGCAGCAGGAGCAGCAGCAGCAGCAATGACTGGTGGGCTGGTGGCCAATGGCCGGGGCTAGCTGTGCCCTTCCTGGAGCAAGCAGCCGAGCACAGAGGCAGGCAGATGCGGCGTCGCCGGCTTTTTACGCCCACGGGATAAAGGTGCCGCCTTTTTCACCGCGCCACAGCAAGGAAATCAAACGTCGTCGCTCGCTGCTGTAGCTGGAGTAGCATACTCGTTAGTCCTGTACGGTATTAAACATAGACTATTTATAATTATAAAACTAATTTCACATATTAAGATTAATTTACTGAGATTAATTTACGAGACGAATCTATTAAAACTAATTAGACTCATATTTAATCTTTCTAATTAGTATTTAAATATTCAATGTGATCTACTAAACTTTAGTCAGCGATGGAAACACCGCCGCGCCTCCATCCATCACCATCCATCCGTCTCCATTTCTCCATGCTGAGCCTGTCTGTGTGTGTGTATCATCTGTGGGTTTCACTGTGTCCAGATTCATGCTGTCTGCTGTGATCCCTGCCCGCTTCTGTCCTGCTAGACAGCAATGGTCGACGTGTGTGTGAGAGGGGTGCAGTGCAGCAGCAGGACGCAGGAGTAGCTGGTACCAGTAGGTGCTAGTACTACCGGCCATGCCGTGCCCCGCCTCGCCTCCGTCTCCGTCTCCATGTCCTGCTGCCGGCAGCTGCCTTTCCTGTGTTGTGTCACGGCCGGCCTTTCCTGTCGGCCATGATTAGGGCTTAATCGAGGCGAATAACTTTACCAAAACCAAGCCAGCAAGACCCACGCACAGCAGCCACGACCACGAGAGAGAGAGAGAGAGAGAGCGATACTACAGGACACGCGAAACTAGGGCGCACATCATGGTCGCCATCAGCGCGAGCACCGTATCTCCAGGCCACATGGAGCCATCCATCAGAAAAAGGCCGAGGGAGAATCCGATGACAATTACAGTACCAGAAAGGAACTAAAGATTTTTATGTTATGCTGCAAAAAAACAAATTTAATATACACTTGGTAAAGCTATTTTTGCTAATTCGTTAAACGATTGTAAAAATTTGCAACGTAATTTGGTATAGATGCACTAAAACCCAAAGATTAAGTTAGAATCAACTCTCACCCTGCTCCCTATTCAATCTCCACTAAAGTCACTCCACCAAAGAATCATAGGTGAAGCTCTATCAAACATACCCTAATAATAATATTTGAGGCCAGTTTGATATAGCCCCTTTCCTAGCTTCTTCGGAGCGGATCAGTGAAGTTGTAGAAATAGTTA